AGCAGGAAAGCTGAGGGTACAACAGGCCTGTCTAGGAGAGTTAGGGGGGCATGGGCTGCCCAGGATCAGCCATGCTGCCCCAAAACGCAGGGCAGTGCTGAAAATGCCAAGAAGTGAGTTAGCACCACAGCAGTGGAGGGAGGTCAGGGGCAAAGGTCCTTTACAGGGACCCCACTGCTCTCAGAGCTGAGACTTCTGCCCCAAAGCCTGCACGTGGCCCCAGGGTCTCTGACTACATCGCCCACCCCCGGCCACTCATCCTTCCAGACTTAGCTGAAGCAGCCCTTTGACCTGCAGCTCCTCCCAGCAGAGGGGAAACTGCCCCTGTGTGCTGCCCCATCTGCAGCCACATCTCTAGAAACATTCCCTCGTTTCTGTAGTTGGGATCCATGCCTCTCTACTGGGGTTGGGAGAGGGAGGGGGAGCGCTTTTCAGGCATCTGCCAGCATGGGCTCTGGAACACAACAGGTGCAGACTTAACAAATATGTTCGCTAATGAGCACCCTAACTGTCTATGCCTGTTCTAAGTGCTGTCCTCACATACTTAACTTCCAGTGGAGGAGACGGGCAGCAATCACTACACTCAATGGCGCCAGCTACTGTGCGGGCTGGCAGCTGACAGCGGTGCTGAGAAAGCATGCGGTGTTTGGAGTGAGGGTTGATGTTCAGATTCTAGGAGAAGGTGCCATTGGAGGAAAGCTTTAAAGAAGGTGGGGGTTTTGGCCAAGGGGAAAACACATCCTACAGTGAAGAAACAGCAAATGCCACGGGCTCTAGTTGGGAGCTGCACATGTTCCAAAAACAGGAAGGAGGTCAGTCTGGCTGGAGCAGGGTGCACAAAGGGAAATGAGTCATAAATGGGTCAAAAGGGCAGGCCATGTGAGGCCCTTGGGGACCTTGGAGGGACTTGGGCTTTATCTCCCAAGGAGATGGGAGTCATGGCAGAACGCTGAGTGTAGGAAGGGTGCAATCCAATCACATTTTAACGGGCTCCCTCTGGCCGCTGTGTGGAGAATGGACTGTGGGAAGCACAGTGTGCATGACCACCTGAATGGACGACTTTCACTTTGTGGGACATTCTGTATTTTTATTCCTCCAGTTCCCCCTCTTTCAGGTTTCCACTAACACCCAGGGCAACTCCAGTCTATCTCTCCACACCCAGGTCCGTCCCAGCTATGGTCCCATGACTCACAGGGGCCAGGCCCTCGGCGATCCATCACAAAGGCTACGGTCACTGGGATGGTGACAGCTTGGCTCGTCATAGGACTGGAGAAGGTCAGAGTAGTAGACAGAGGTCCCTGGCTGCCAGCCGCAGGGTCTGAGATGCCAACTGTGTATGTAACAGAGCTGGGCAGCCCCACAGACTTCTCCTTCTCGAAGACCAGCACTGCTGGGGATCCCGATTTCACCTGGGAGAGATGTCAGGGTGGGAGGGAAGCACCTCACTGCTCCTGTAAAGCTGGAGGTGGGGACCCTGCCCAGCTCCCGCAGGCTGGGCACTCCTGAGAGCACACCACCTGCCAAGCTAGGGAAGAGCACACTGTAGACACTCGTGCTGTTTGTAAGGAAAGGACAGGTCCTCATCACTGAATTCCAGTCAAGTTCTCGTTTAAACATGCCAAACTGACATGAACACCCACCAAACACAAACTTTCAAGGGAAGTAGTCTGGAGCTCAAATAATGGTGGATTCCCAGGAGCTCAATCCCAGGGCTCAGCAGACCCACCATGAACAACGCACTCAGCCCTGCCTCTCTCGACTCAGCCATGTTGGCTGCCCTGAGATGAGAAGGAGCAGGCAGAGAAGCCAACACCCTCACACATCCCCCTGCCTCCTCCCACCCGCTGAACTTTAGGACATTTACCCACCATTCAGCAGTCGGGGAAATTGAGGCCCAGAGATAGAGACTTGTCCCCAGTTGTATGTGAGTCAGTGACAGGTTATGAATTAGGACATTTATTCCTGCCAAGGTCAGCAGCCTTCAGGCACTGAACCCATTCATTCAATATATTAACTGTTCACTGAGCACCGTCTCTGTGTTAGGGGCCCTGTGCCAAGTGCCGCTCTCGCACACTTAACTTCTCATTGGGGAA